TTCTAAATGAAAGCTGATCTTACATGATGGCAGGCGTCTGAGTTTTTAAGAGACAGGCCAACTACTATGAAGGCTGTCAATGCTCGCTCCTGGCTTTTTTTTCCTCGTCTTGCCCAAAATGCATGCAGTTCCTATATGTGAAGGGTTACACTACCTGTGTAAGTCCACTAGGACTTTGTCTGTCGCTCTGTGGGGGATGAAATTGGACATGACCCAGTATTCTTCAGGGGGTAAAAAATTAATTTTCCTGGAGTGCTACCAGAGAGTAACGATGATTATTGAGTATTGCAGGGACTCACCCTGCAGGGAAAGGCTGGGCCCCCCATGTCAAACCTGGTGAGAGGTGGGGGACTGTTAAAGTAGCTCCAAGGAGGATACTGACTTCAGCAACAGCAGTGTCAGGCACCCCTTTATACAGTAAAAAGCAGTGTCTTTTGAACCTTCCCTTTTTCGGCTTTGCGCAGGCCTTGCTGGCTGGGGTAGGAAGCCATGGTGCAGCTGCCCCATTTACCTCCTAGGTCTGTGTTGATGGGCTGCTCTGCAGCCTGGTAAACGTGCATGGCTTCCTACAGAGAGACGGGAACTAAACTGAACTCTGAGTACTGAACGCTTTCCCTGAAGTGAGTCTGGTTAAAACCAGAGGAAGACTAGAAAGCCCTAGACACTGCCACACAGAACTGCAACAGTCTGGGCAGGGACTAAACCCCACACCTTTAACAAACCACCCCACAGCTTCCCTTCCAAGCACATAAATAAAGCAACAGATAAGATGCTACAAATCCTACTCGTCACTCTTGGGCAGAGACATACATGATTCATTTTTCATACATTTATCCTCTAACACTCTGTCATCTGCACTGTTCTCACAGCATCTTCCAGTTCCTGTACAGCATACTGGTGGTGAGGTGCCCAACACAGCACTGTTACAAATAGCAGAGATCAAGGCAATGTTCAGAAAACCACACCATTTGCTGCAGAAGTAGCTGACAGAGGTAGGCCAGGTAAACATGAAAGGAATGCCTGAGTTAGGATCAACTGAGTGCAATCAATCAGCACAACATCTCAGACTGAAGAGATAAAGCTACATTTGCATTTATACTCTAACCTGTCCCTCAAAAGAGAACATTAGGATGTTTGCCTAAATGTTACAAATTGCTTGGAAAAAAGGTGCCTTGATGCAGGTAGCAGTTATAGTGTGTTGATTGTTTTGACTCTCTCTGCAGTGAAACACCAAGGGACTTAGGTGCTCCCAGGGAGAGAAACTCCTGCACAGTCTTCTAGGAGCTGGAGGTTTTAAGTGTCCTGTGTGCTGGCAATCATGGCCATACTAGAAGAATCTTTTCTGACAAAAACCCATGCAGGATTAATCAGTAAGCTCACAGAAAATGAGAGGGGAAGCACAAAATGAAGGAGGAGGCGAGACCCGGGGGTACTTAGTATCCTAGGAGGATTTTTGCATTTTATCTGGCCAGATGCCACACAAAGGCAGCCTGCTGCATCCCTGCCTGCCTGGTAGCAGCCTGTGTGTTAGATTGTGTGACAGTCCAGTATAGATGGCACAGTAGGAAAGCTGGTAAAAGGCAGAGCTTTATTACTAATCACAGAGAGTTTGCAAAAGGCTATGGCTGTTTGCTTTCAGCCTTATCCTGACCCTGTGATTAGGGATGCACTGATCATTATTTGCTTATTAAGACTTGAAAACAGAAGGCAGAAATTTACTCTGCTCCTCTTCACAATCAGCAAGTATTCATATAAGCTTTCAGATTATAGAGCAGATGCAGTAACTACTGAAGTGAGATTTTCCAGGGACATTACAGGCTTTAGAACATGTCCTGCATGACTGGAATGAACCAAAGCTACCATTTCCTCTTTGTTTAGATATTAAACTGAAGTTCATTGAACCATTTCTTCCTTTCATGCAGGGAGACCTTTAAAGCGATATACTCAAATACAGGCTTGAGATGACCGGTAAGGTTTGGTAACCATAATCAGTTCTTTGAAAGAAAAGGTGTAAGCCTCCTTGCAGCCCTGAGTTAAGGCCAAGACCCAGGGAGAGTGGGATTTTAGATTCAATCATGTCCTCCTGCTTTCTATTAGCTAATCTGGCGGTGGCTGTTTTGGATCCTACTTTAAGATTACTCCCTTGGAGTGTTTTCATTTCTGAAAGGAACTGTCTCTCTGAGGAAAACTTGTGTGTCAGTCCATCTCCCAGTGCAATCTGAGTGCTAAAATTCTGGAAACTAGTGTCTATCCATATCAAAATACACTTCCCTGAATGCCTCATGAATGGTGCTTATATAATGTTTTGAATTTCTTAGACACTAACATTCAACATTTTATATCTAAATTGTTAATGTTCTGTAAAGTAGCATGCTCAGCCATTTTAATGTAATAAAAAAAAATTTCTTTATATATCCCTCAGTGACCAGAATGGAAAATAAGACCTCAAATTTTCCCCTTAACCAATTCCAAGTCAGTTCCCTAATTTGACTATATTAGAATAAAACATGTCAGCCAAGGATAATGCTATGCTCAATATTTTATTTATATTTTTATGTAAACATAATTTGCTTTGTAGGCACAATATAACAAAAGCTCTAAAGCAACAAATACAATTAAACAGTGTTTCAGTTCACTTCAATCAGGCTTAAGTTAGAGAAGCTTTCACAGTTCCTTTAAGGCAAATTGAGAAATAATTTGTTTCACTTGAAGAAACTATCCAATTGTCTTAGAGTTGTTTAAACAACACTCAGTAGTAAGCACGAACCTTCATTTCTTCTACAATAAGACTTAGTAAGAAGCCTCAGCATCGTCATTTTGTATAGCATGCCCTCTACCACTTCAGATGCGATACTACTGTTTGTGGTATTCTAAATGGTGCTTAGGGCTTGTGGGCCAAATTCTGCTAGCACAAATCCTGCTTCCAGAACAGACACCTGAAAAATTTCCATTCATTTCAGTAGTAACCTTCATGTATATGCCATATTCATACCAGTAAAACACAGAGTAGAATTTAGCTTGCTGATGGTAATACTCATCTGTGTTGCACTTAGGTAGATCCAGAAGTATTCCTGGGCACTCACTGCAATTACCTGATACTCTGCTGAGCAGAAAACGGCCCTAAAACTGGTATGAATTAGCATGAAGAGTATTTTTGCCTTGCTAACAAAACCAGAAAGAACTAGCCAAAATTATTTCATTGGATTGTTGTCCCGATGGTGTCTGTGGCCATGACCAAGATCACCCATCTTTATTGGTCTTGAAGGGTAATTTAACTGTAGAGCCAACCATACTGCGGTTTATAACAGAAGAACGATTTGCTATTCTGCTTGCCCTACTAATTTAAGGCCTTGAGAATGCCACTTTACTGCCAGCTCGAAGGTCACCAGCAATATTGCTCACTTTGGCGTCAAATCAAAAATCCTAGTTACGTTAAGGTTTGTTGCAGGACAACATCATTACACTAACTGCAAAACAAAATTGGGCATGTTTCCTACCGTTGTCAGCTTATGAGTCGTGAAAACTTAATGGCCTCTCTTAAAAGCCCAATTGGCAGGCCCAATACTTGGAAAACTCTCACTGAAAATGTATTTTTTTTCTGTGGATCAAGTCCCTTTTTGGGCCTGATACGGCACTGGAAGCATAGGCAAGTCCAGCTTGAAAAGAAAATCAACTATAGTGAAGTTCTGTATCAACATCTAGAGAAAAATGAAGTTCTGGTTCGATTAATATTACAAAAGCTTTTTTGGCATTTTTCTCCAGTTGTTTCTTCTCATTATTTTTGAATTTGTTTAACCAAGGGAAACTCCTTCAGAATGAACATTCTGCACAATTATCTGGTATTAGAACAGCAACTTCATGAGTACAGTGTAAAGAGATGGACATTAATACTCAGGCAGGAAGATGAAACAAACAGAAAAAACAAGAGAGAATCTTCTAAAACCACACATAAAAGTCATCCAGACCCACAAGTCTTTTCACAATGAGAAAAGCCTGAGAAGCCCTCCCTCTCCACTTTTCTGTATTAGTTTTTAACTTCTGTCACTACAGGATACTTGTAGATTTAGGTGAACAATCAGCCATGCCAGGGGAAATACTTTCCTTTGAAAAAAATACATTAATTCAAAGATATATGGCATTATATGAGGTCTCCAACATTCCTTTAGCATTTCTAGCGTGGGTGATTGCAGTCACTTTAAAATAATTGTTTTAACCCGACAATTTGAGGACCTGAGTAGCTGCTGCTTGGATAGGTGAAAGACATGGAAAAAATACTTACTTTTGTCATGTTTAGATACAGTTTCCACTAGTGGGAGGTAGATAAGACTAGCTGGTCTTTGAATACTTGATCCTGCAAATAATTACAAACATAACTGTACATATGGAGCAGAGCTTTTGATAGAACTATTCACCTAGATAAAGTTATCCCTGTGCATAATTTCCGATGGGATTAAGGCCTAAAACTCATTTTTAACAGGATTAACTTCTGTAGGAGTTCAGCTCCAGCTTGATAGTTGATCAACACATTAGCAATTTCAGAGCAGTAAACTCCATCAACAAATTTCTTTCCACATACTGATGAGTGATCCTTACCAACACGATTTAAAAATGAAATTTAAAATTGGTTTGGATCTTGGACACATGAATCAATGTGTCCTTAACAGAAGATGTTGATCTGTCAATAACAATGCTAATTGCTACAGGCAATTAAGGTTCTGGGACTAAAAAGAGAGGCTCACTGACCTTTTTCTTTGCCTGTAACATACGGGGTGATAGCTCAGATCAACAGGAAAGCATGATAGTTGGCACTCTGAATGAAGTGTTTAATGACTGCTGCTGATGACTAACGTGATTATACAATACAAATCAAAGTCTCTCAATTAATGATTTCTTGCACAATTTCAGATTCCACAATTCTAAATGAGGTATCTTTGAAAATGAAGATAGGATTGCTTATAAAATGATAAAGCATGACTGAGGAAAATGAAAACTCATCTTTTTTACAACTTTTATCTGTGGTTCATAAAAGGAAAACTATTTTAACACTGAAAAGCCACAAACTTAAAATCCTCCCTCCAGTTACTAGAATCTTCCAAACAGCAAGTGGGGAATTTTTTTTGTTACTGTTTCCAACTTGCAAAAAAAGCCCAAACCCCCCAAATAATTTTAAGTGAAATGTTGGAATTCGCATGAGAAAGATGCCCATCTAAAATTACACAGTAAGTTAATAAGGCTTTTAAACCAGAACAGAAAAATCCATGGGACTCCTACAGGGAAACTGGGTATTACACAGGAATGTCATAATACTGCACTGGATGAGAATGGCACTTGAGTTCAAAACAACAATGATCAACAGCTCATAGCTCAGCTGACTGCAGACAAATACAACACACACTGTACTACAGCATTTGTTCACTGATGCACAGAATAGATTTCCCAGTCTTGTTCCCTTCTACTTCATCAATCTTTCTGCTTCCACCACCTCTGGCTGTTACTGGATGAATGGCATGCGCTCTTTATTCTCATTGTCCCCTTCATGGTCTTCTTCCTCTTCTCCAGCCTCACTTGTCTCTGTGCTGTCGTTGGCCATCTGTAGCGTGAAAGATGAAGAACATCAGAGCACCTTTCACATTGTTTAATTCCTTCTTATTTCAGTTTGATTCATTTGATTAAGTGACTTTGAAAATGAAATAAGATACGGTTGCAACATGAAAATAAACGTTCTGTCTGTGAAAAACTTTTGTTGGCACTACACCACTTCCAGCTAAAATTGTAAGCTGTTCCCTCATGGCTTACCGCTGAATTACCTAACCGAAAGCTGCTTTGTAGGACAGTTGCACAAGCAGACTCTGATCTGTGCACGTATAGCAAACTGGCATTAAGGCTCTCAGATAGGAAACAGAACTGTGTGGGAGGTTTATAGAATGTGTGGGACCTCTGGTTTACAACTCCTTCTGTATCTGCTCTTCCAGAGACAGGTAACGCTATTCTTTAACACCAGCTAATGGATGGGATCTGGTCCCACATGAGGCAGTGTCATGAAAACTCAGGGAGCAACTGTTTTATGTAAAAAACAATGAAACTCTATAGAGCAGTGGATATGTAGATGCTGGCAGAATATACCCAAGACAGAGTGCGAATCTTGGATCATACAGGAGTGGGGAGAAATGGCATCTCCATATTTTATTGCAGATTGCACCTGTATTACAGGTGGTAGGCAATTACAGAAATCCGTAGTTCGGGATAGCATTTAAGGTGCACATCGCGTTTTTTCACATGGGGATATTTATTACAAGCTGTGTGAAGGTGCAAGACCCTCCTGTACTTCACCGTGTCAGTTTGACTTGTCTCTGAAGGCACAAGAAGAGTCTGGTTAACTGCACAGGTGGTAGCATTTAACAGCGTAGATTAGGATGACTGCATTCTCTTATACACCAACATTAGCACTCTTCGGACACAAGAAGATTCTTGTATTAGCTTATAACTATTTCAAAACCAACTAAACAAGGAACCCATTTACTTTTTAGAGAGAAATGCAGTGACATTGTACCTTACCTTTTTGATTACTAGCCTCTTCTGGAAATAAAAATCTCAAGCTCAACCTGATTTTAATGCAGAAAAGCAATGCTCTGAAGTTACCCATATTTTTGAATTAACACCCTTTTGTGAAAGTATATCAAATTTGTTCTCACCTTCTAACCAATGGCTATTGTGAATATACAATATCAAGAGAACAGATGGAATAAGTGTATTAATCTTGTGTTATAGATTCTTGTTTACAGTTTTAAGATGCAATTCAGCTACAAAATAATGCCCAGTTTCCAGACATGAGGTCCCAAAAGCCTTCCTTTCCTTGCAGCAATTTGGTATGAGATTTGGGGCCAATTTTAGAGTAAGCACGAGGAAGAGCTTAACTGTAATTCCAGGTTTTTTTTCTATTCTTTTGAAACAGGAGATATCTCAGGTGTGAAAGCAAACTTCATACATCAGTATTGGTTTGAAGTTAGTTTTTCATTATCTTCTTTACTGCTCTTTCCTCCATCATCAGTGAACGTTTAGGCATGAACCTGACTTTCATTTACTACTGCTCTCTGTAATGTTTCTGTACCATGTTAAGTGCTCCAAATCCAGTGGAGCAGAGCTTGATCACAACTATCTTCCTTCAGAACATTTCTATACAGAAGTATTTAGGTATTATACTTCATATACTAGAAAAAAAGTAAAAGAAATTTGTACCAAAGGTATACTCCGACTTTTGTATGGGAATCAGAAAGCACTTCTACATTTGTACACTGAAGTTATACTGACTGTGTCTTTTTCCGTTCAATCCATTCATTCTTATTAGCACAGGAATTTTGTATTATGTGAAATGTCTATTTGTTTTCTATCCCAGGGACAGAAATAGATGTGGCAGTTTTACTCTGATCTAAGACTTGCAGACACATTTTTGGAGAGGCAGATAGCCATTCAGTATAGAAAAGTAACTGCTGGGACTCTAGGATTTACAATCATATTTCACTTTAAATATATAAATTATGATTATTGGTTGTATTTGGGTGCTATGGATTTAGAAGAAAAGAGTATAAAAAAAAATCATAAGACACATGTCTCCAAGTCACTACCATGTTTCAACCTGTGTGACTGTGCACCATGTATGTAGCGTGTTGCGCTCACCAGGGGAGTGGGTGCTTTCTCCACATCCAGAATTAGTTTTCCTATATTTCCTCGGTCATGGATTCTCTGCATGGCCTCCTTCACCTGAAAGAAAGATAACCTATTGATAATTTTCAGGCATACACCAAGAGAAGCCTGAATTCCTTCCTCCCAAAACCAGCAATACATTTAAGGCACGCTATGTGCAAGGTCATTTAAACAGCTGCTTGAAAGAAAATTAATAGTTAAACATTTTTTAGTGAATTTGTAAGGCCTGATTTTTGCATTGTGTTTGCCAAAATGGGATGGGAGTCTTGATGACAGTTTCTGAATAGTGTAATACATACACAATGTTAACACTGTACAAAAGTAACTGTTAGCTGAGGTGCAGAGAGAAATATAGGCTTGGGGAGTTAATCCTTACAGGTTGTTCATTAGATTTTTCCCTTTGCAGAATATTTATCAAGAAACTCTACTTTCACTGAAAGTATGAAATGTTTTTCTAATTGACCTATGATATTTTTCAATTAATTTCTTTTGTGTTCCTATAAAGGGAATGCCATATCCAGGCAGTGGCTGTGATTAATGCAGTAAGCACTGCATAAAGCAAGTATTTATTTCCTTTTTTTTTCCCCCACTTTTTTTTTTTTTAAAAATTTTAAATAAGCAGTGTCCTACCTATACCACCAAGACTCAACATTTAACAGCTGGCTGCAATTAGCACACGTGAGAAAGGAACAAAACCCCCTTCTTACTAGTGCACTGGAGAGGAGCTTATTTTGATGTATGAAGTTTCAGAACTCATGAGAGCTCAGTGTTGATGAATTGAAATTGTGGGTGTGTTGGACTGAATGTTCAATGTGCAGCAGGCAGACCACTATTAAATGACTGAAAATTGGAAGATGTCAGGAATTTCCTGACTTTCATTGTGGGAAATTTCAGGAACTGAAAATGTACACATAAAGGCTGTTTCATACCCTCATCACACTATTTTTTGCTGGCATAACAGGATATGTTGAGACAAGAAAGAGTTCTATGTTAATAGGATCTACCATCTGTGACATAGTTTTATTGAATATTTTAAGAATAATGGCATAGACTTTTGAAACAATATGCTGACTTGGGAACAGGTGGGTCCCACAGTACATTTAAAAGGCTGAATTGGGGTCCAGGCACCTAAGATAATTACTGGATGTCTAATACAGAAGGAGGTATGAGATTTTTAAAGACACTAAGTGAATACAGCCTTCAACTTCCAATTAAATTTAATGGATGCTGGGCACAAAATGTCTTTACCATCTGTCGGCTGTATTTTGAAAGCTGACTGCAGTGAACTCAATATTACAACTTTAATTTTGCAAAGTGGTTCCCTCAATTAGTAAATACAAGACTTAAAAAAAATATAATCTGTTAGAACAAAAGAAAAATTGCACTGCAAAACACAATGACTTTCTACTTTAGGGCATAACTGTAAATCAACTTTGGAAAACACAGTCTTATGAATTCCACTGGATAGAAGGTTGACCTCTAAATGTAGTCCATAAAATCACAGTAACTTTTATGAAGTTACCTTACAGCATAAGCAGTACCTAACTATCCTATAAGACTTGTTCTGCCCTATGGAAAATATTCCTTTAAGAATATCCAACAAAGACTCTGAAGAAGCAGCAGGTCTATTATTTTTTATGACTCTTATTAGCCAAATCAAGCTTCTAGGAGTCTATAGCACAGCATAAATAATGAACATAGATGTGACAGAATTGGAAAAATCAGCAAACACACTTGCCCATCCATTGAAATTTATTACCAGAACTTCATGTGGAAAGCAGGGTATGCAACATTTATTTTAATTTGCACCGTATCATATTTAGCAAGGCAAATTTGAGAAAATGTGCTTTCCCTGCTTTTTTCACACGCACACTATCAAATTTAAGACTCTGGAGAAAGGTTCAGGAGTTGTTTCCAGGACACTTGTAAGTAGCTTGCAAATGCAAACAGCAGGCAGAGGCAAAGGGAACAATAAAACTTATAACAATAATAGTGGCTATGGAATCCAGATGGAACTATTAAAATATATTAAAAAAATTGAAAAACAGTTTCAAGAGCTGATGCAACATCTGTATATTTTCCTGATATTTGCAACTTACCTACCCGGTTAGTCAAATTCTGTACTAGAGCAATGCCATTCAGTACACTATGTCTGAGTTAAAAGATGATGAGCTATTTTATAAATGAGTAATTTTTATGTTTATGGCTGCTAACAATCCACTTATTCAACCAAGACAGCAACTACTAGTTTCCCAAGGTGCCTGAGTATTAAAACCATTCCCTCTCATACTGTAGAGGGCAGAGAGCATTAAAAAACTTCTTTGCTATGCAAGCATGGTTCAGGCTTAAGTCGTTCTATCCGGACTATATAAAAGCATTCACTTTTTCATGTGAACGTTTAAGTGCTGTGTATAGTCTGCGGTATGGAGCTTCTGCTAAGTCTGTGCCTGAGTGTTTGCATGTTACCAATGAAGCCAGTGAATCGCTCTTCGCTTGGTTAAAAATCAGACCCAGGCTTAACTGGTAGTACAGTGAGGCATGTGGAAATCCTGGAATTTGCTGGAGGTTCTCTGAAGTGGTTGAAGTTGATTCAAAATAAATATCCCTTCCAGCAGCAAGGATCAAAAGGGTTTCCCTATTCTTACAGAACTGTGTCCCTAAATTACTTTTCACCAATCATTCTGTCTTGGTTGCCATTTGCATTTGTCGGCTCAAATCCAAGTAAATGGATCCGACGTACTTTTGCTTATATGGTTAAGGAAATTGAATTTCTTCTTGTGCAGTATCAACAGAAGAGGGCTGTTGGATTGGAAATAGTACAAAGGCGTGTTTACTAATATAAAGAGTTTCCACTGGAATAAAGAACAAAAATTCTGCTGGCCTTTGTTTCCTTTCAGTATAGCTCAGCCCTTAAGAGTGTCTGTGTCTAAACTAATGCTGAAATACACATTTTAGCCTTGAGCCCCAAAATTGACACAATATGCATCACAGAGCTCTGCACTGGAATCAGAACTGGTTTTACACATTAGTGGACAACTGGGAAATGTTTTCACTTTCTATGTTATTTACGTAAGGAAAGTTAGAAAACCCGTTACTGAAAAACAAGAAAGATTCCAAATGCTGCGCAGCCATGCACTCTCCGAGGAATCCAACACAGGCACTCCTAGGCAGCAGCGGAGGAAAATAATTAATAGCAAAGGAAAAATAAAAGGAGTCCCAAGTTTGCCTTTTCCCTCAAGCACACTTGCATTAATTCGTATTTTAGTTTGATATACTGTTTTAAAGCATACTCTAGAGTAGAATCATCTTCCCCTATCTGTTCAGTCTAGTGGAAAATGGTAAGAAACACAGGAAAAGGACCTTTCTAACTCAGTTTGAAACAATTTGCATTAGGGAATATGCTTTTATAATTGTAGAAACAATTTTGAACAAGTATAGTTCTCCCATCCCTTTCAGCTCTACAAATGCGACAGTCATGGATATGTTACCACATATCCTCATTCAAGTGTTTTTCAGCAATGCCAGTGAATCTGGAAATTAACATGACCTATGCAATAATGAGGTCATCTGTGAAACAAAAAACATGGTCTAGAAAGCCAACACTGATGTACCTCAAGGTCATTTACAAGTCACGCTTACCATGCCCTGTGAGAAATATTCAAATTCTCAGTTTCCACCATAAATCCCCAAGTGCTGCAGATTTTCTTAGCCTTCTATGAGCTCCTTCGTCATACCACTCTGCTGGACCCAAGCAGAGAGGCAAGGAAGGTAAAATATATAGAGCTTAATTGGGAATGTACAGAAGCATTGGACAGAATGTACAGACCATGGACATAGCATTACAGGCAAAATTTAGCAGCTTTAACATTTCTTAGAAAATTTTAATCTTTTAACACACGCTTGCACGTTTAGAAAGGTGTTATGCTACCAATACTACCAACAGAATTCTTCAAAGAAGTCTTGGTACAAACACAGGATAAAAAAAATCACAAAGCTGGCAAAGAAGGCCTGTTGTAAAAAAGCCTATTCAAGTATATTTTCCTGTGGGGATGTTATAGTCGGGATCTCAGAGCTTCTCTTGGATCAGAGCCATTTCTGTCCATCTCTATTGTGTTATCATACTGCAAAGAGCAACAATTACTGTCAATAGACCTTGGTAGGAGAGTAAGGGCAGAAATGCCTTCATGTTACTGGTCACAGAATGTTCTAAAAGAGGTTTCACAACAGCTGTGTTCTCTTGAAGTAAAAAGTTTGACAGCTGTACTGAACTCTCTCCAACACCACCGCAGTGTCTCTCTTGGGGTACTCCTCAAAAGTATAGAGAACTTCGGATATTGTGTCCTCTTTAAAATTTCTCATTCTGCTTCAAAAAGACTCATCTTCTCCAGCCTCAAATCTTTTCAAAATCAAGATGAGGCACTTATCTTAACCAACAATGGTAATTTTCAGAATATTGTTTAATAATACAATATTCTCCTACAAGACTAGATTTTCTCTGTCTTCAGAAACAAGCTGTAACAACAAGGCCTCCCTCCAACAATATTTATACAGGTAAGTATTGCAAAAAATAAGTATTTTTTAAAGTCTGCATACAAACTGAAACAGGAAAGCAAAGAAAAAGCAAGTTGACCAGGCACACTGGGTTCTAGATTCAAGGGACCGCTATGTGCCTCGTCTTCCTGCTTTCAAACCTCTGAGTTCTACAGGCTCAAAAACAATGTTCAAAGACAATGCAGGCAAGGATATGCAGAAAAGAATAGGATTTTCCAAATTCTAATGATGGGTAAGTCTAGAATTCCACTGACCCTAACAGATTTTGAAAACCTGGATTGAGAAAGTTCAATACTTGTTCCTCCCAATGAGAACATTGACAATAACTGGCGGTCCCAATAGTTGTTTGCAAATTCAGAAATGATGCCACGCTCAGGGTAATGGCATGCAACATTCTGCTCAACCTTCCTTCACCGATTAAAAAATTAAAATTATTGAATATTATAATCCTGTCCAGTTCATACAAGGGAAACACAAAGAAATCAATAGGAAAATCTCAGCACATC